CCCAAATGAGAGTAGAAAACTGCAAGCCTTCTGGAATTAATAGTGCTGTATGTAACAGAAATAGCAAACATGCAAATCTCGTCAATATCGCTTCTATAAAAGCGTTACTTTTCAAGGTAATGGTTGCTTATTCCATATATACGTATGTATTCCACACACGTCCGAGGACTGACGGAACTGTGTGCCAAGCAAATCATTGTACAATAACGTTTATAAAAAAGAAAAATTTTCCATGATTTGCTTATTCCAACTGGTGATTAGACGACCTTGATATAGCTAAAAGAAAAAGGCAGGTTCGTAAAGTTTCCAATGTTGCCACCCCATCGGACAAAAATGAGCAACGGATCAAGCAAGGCACAATGGAAAAGGCTTCTCGGTTGCAAACACCACGAAGCACGACGTGTCTTGATTGGTAGCAGGATTATTGAGATAGTATGTCGGCATGCGTAAATCCCAGGAACAGCAGCAAAATTCTGCGAAGTGGTTTCCGACCGAGTCACAGTGACATTTCATTGTGGATGCATATTGGCAAATTGAAGAACGTAATTGGTTTCGGTGATATTACAAACACTTATGCAGGCTGTAAGGCGTCACATATGCTAGACACAAGTAGGTGGTTTCGACTTTTGTTCTATAAACAGCAAACCTCGTCGTTTGTTTTATATATATATAAACCAATTACATACAATTGGCAGATGTGCCACATCATATGAAGAAAGAGGTGTGAAAAATGTTGAAATAAAAGTCAAAGAATAAGGTCCTCGCAACAAATGCGCCATTGACGACGGTTACCAGCCCTGTTGGCTAGTGTCTCAAACAATAAACGTTCGCTGTCTATGGGACTCCAACCAAGGAAACTAGATCGCCCTGCCACGACCACTTTTGAGGTCAATGCCGTCATCGTTTGAGCCTGGCTAATTAGGTACCCACCGGGTCGCCGCTTCCAATTAGTGTCGGCTTGCGCAAACATAACACAATGGGGCAGTCGTTCAGCCAGCATCCGCAGCACATGTTCCGGCCACCGAAGTCTTTTGAGCGAGATGACGGTAGTCAGAGGAAGACTGAGATTGTCTGAGGCGAAGATTCCATGATAAACCTCATCGTTGGTAATTCGCTGTTGACGACGTATTTTGGTGATAAGACGAAGGCAACAGTGGTCAAAGACAATTAACCTCTGTACAAGTTCTGTTTGAAGGGGTCAGCTGTCACCTCCGTAGAGTAAGACTGAGTGTGTTGTAGCATTGTAAAAGTGGCTTTTTAAGGAGAGACAGAGATTGTGTCGACGCCACAATTGATGTAGGTTAGCGAAAGTCACCGGGGCTTTGCGGGAACGTGCTGATATTTCTTCTGTCAGTCCTCTTGAGCTATAACAGCTTTAGTTTTCATGGGTCGGTTTCGGTTACTGTCTCACGATTGACCATTGGGATAAAAGAGCAGAAGAACGGAATGTTGCGAGCGGAGTCAAAAAGAAGATAGAGAATTCACATGGCCTACAGTTGCAAGGATAATGAAGCACCAAGGACATACCAGTGTTTAGAAAGCAATACTACCGAGTATAAAGAAAAGCCGCTTAACATAAAAAATAGCCAAACAATCTAAAGTGAACGTTGTAACTCACTAAAGGCGTCACTAGTTTCAGTTTCAAATTGTACAACCACTAACCATGAACTTTCGTGCACCAGTTTTGGTTGCTGTTTCCCGGCTGCCCATTTGGATGAAGCAGTAAGAGAAAGACAGGACGGTAGAGTCAACGAGAAAATAGAGAATTTCAGTGGACTAAGGTTGCAAATAAATTGAGAAGATGCCACGATTTACGACACTCAGCCGTATCACTCAGCGTCTCTAACCATCGGCTACGATCATCCCTAGGTCCCATCCGGGGAGCCCAACGGGACCTATGTAACCCAGTCTCCTGGTTAAGGTTTCCTCACCCTCGTGACATGTCTTTCTTAATACACACATTTTTGTGTGATGAACAGCAGACGGGGGATTTCATAGTCACAAAGATCTGCTGTTCAGTGATACCAACCAGTAACATAAGCCATGGGACTTGGAGTGGCGAACCACATAAAGGCCCCGGTATGTCTCGCGTGGTATTGAACCGGACGCCAGTAAAGCTGCCCACCACCAAAAAGTTGAAAAAGCGATATCGTATAGGTAATTGTATCACGGAAGCTATCCCAAATAATACGTCGATGTGCACTGTAACTAAAACAATGACCCAAAGAGATAAACTAGACTAGCAGCTAACGTTTACTGCAGCCATCATCCTATTTTCCTATATGCTACCGTTGGATATACAGTCGAAAAGGGGAACCACGAGCACGACGACTTACTACCCAGTTACAGAAGCTGACAGCTCAAATTTGAGACTTAAGATGAATAACTAGGTCCTAGCAGGACTTGGGGGAAACACTGATACGGACGATGGAGAAGCTGTGCATCACGATTGGGTTCAGAATAGTTCTAACATCAACTNTCAACTAGCAACTCAATATACGTTAGTGAGAGGAACTAAACCCGCTCGAAGAATCTTGTCTGAGGCCAACAGCTATCGATCTCCTTTTACTGCTATCTTGATGATCTTTTGTTATTCTTGGCGATTTGATGAACAAAGTTGTAACCGAAAGGACCGATAAGTGTGGCGGATGGCTGAGCAGTGGAAGCACGAGCTAGTGCAAGCCAGTGAGTTGGGCGACAACAGAATGTGTTGAGGTAAATATTATTTCTTTTCTTTTCGAGTCCAAGTACAATGGAATTTTAAGACAGATGTATAATTCAATGATAAGTTTTAAACTAACCTGTGAGACCTGAAGGAAGGGCTGCCAGTTGGGGAGCGGTACCGGGTTGTATGCCAGCAGTAATTACACCACGATGCGCTTGGAGCTGCGGTTGTTGAATGTGTGTGCCGCCCGTTGCATTCGCAGAAACGACACCAGGTGCAGTTGCAACCAGGGTGTTAGGTGCCAAAGTTTGTTGTGGCATTCGTTGGGGTTGTTGGATTGTCATCACTGGCTGAGGCTGAAGATGTACACGTGTCAGTCCGTGATCGACGGGAACGGCGGTGGGACGTGCAACCGTTGTGGCGGCAAGTCCTAGAGGACGAACCGTGGAATCCCCCGCAATGATTGTGTGAGTTGAAGGCTGCGTAGAGACCAGAACTCGGGTAGCTGGACCGAGCTGTAACATAACAGTTTGGTCCATAAGTCATTAAACATGACTAATTAACGATCTAATACAGTATTTCGGGTAAACCTATTTTAGTCTGAAATTATCTGCGAGAACTCGTGCTAGTTTCGTTCATTCCCTATGTCCCGGGTTTTATGACCATTATCATTGTACAGCGAAATACATCGCAGCAAACTTCACTGACCGCTGACAAATGAGTGAAGGAAGGTAAAAGAAAGCGAACTTACACGATCAACATAGAACACATCCTCAAACTGTGCATGTACACTTTTTAGAGCATTCTTGACTGCTAGTGTGACAAAAACGCCACTGGTGCCGGTTTGCTGTCATGCCCTTTAGTGTATTCAACCAAAAACTTAGAGAAGCTTTCGGACTCCTGTCCGGAAGAAAAGAGACATCTAATTTACCTTATCGCTGTGTACTTCTTTATATGGTAAATATATACCACCGTCTCCGAAAGCCTCAATATGGTCAGGGTGGGTGGCTCGGTTTGCGGCTGGTTACATCTTTCCTACACCTTGCGAAATGCACCCATACGACCAAGCGTTTCCAACAGTTTCTGCTGAGGAAGCCCTACTCACTGCCTTCTACTAGCGGTGGTGTTTCCCCACCAAAGTGAGACGACGAAAAGCCGATATCCGGGGCTATAATCGGGTTGATGAACTACTAGGAGTTCACCGAGCGGAGTTCACCAAAACCCCTGATTCCAAACCAACCACGAAGAGGCGTACGAACCACACGCATACCTTCCTGTTAGTGGTCACCGGTTCGATTGAGCATCCAGATGTATTGGGCACCTTTGACGTTTGACCACGTCCAAGGAAATGGACACCGCCCCCCAATGGACTGCGGACTCTGAGCTCCGTCCTGTTGTCTTGCAGGTCTGGATTTCTAGCCAAAGGTTTCGAGTGGGGACCCCAAGGTTAACCCCTTTCCTCGGTCAGGGTAACCGGGAAGTAACATGCCCACACAACCTATGAACACAATCTACAGATTTCTTTTTGTTCATGTGTTGTGGCACATTTGCCAGTTCTCTGTAATTGGTTACGTGTTGAAAAAAATGAAAGATGTATACCACCGGTTTGCGAAAAAGTATGGTGTCACATTTCTCCAGCAGAGCTGTTACCGCAAACAAGGCGCGACGCAGTAGGAGACAATCAAGCATACGCAATCGGTACCCTAAACAGCAAAGCCTGGTTATTTCTAACAGTTAATGATAATTAGTCTTTCACCGAAGAAAACGGGCCAACACACGGCGCCTCACCTCTAAGTAACTGACCCGGTCACTCTACCTGTGTCAAACCACGCAAACCTCGATGACCAAAAACCTCTAGTCGATGGATTTTTATTTTCACACACGTCTGATGCCAGACTATGTGCTAAACAAATCATGGTACAATAATCTTTATGAAAAAGAAAAACGTTTCCTGATTTGCATGTGGACTGAATATTGTCAGGTTGTTCAGGCCAAGGAGGTGAATTTTCTTGGGGAATCCACAACCGGAGCCTTTGGCTAGCCAAAGCCTGACCCGCAAGGCAGCGGGGCGATGTGCGAAAACCACAATGCATTAGGAGCCGGTGTCCAGTTCAGCAGATCATACACCTTTCGGACGGGGTCGAACGTCCAAGGTGCCCAATACACCTAGATACCCAATCGAACTGGTGACCACTGCTACAACCAGGAAGGTGTGTGTGGTTTGTACATCTCCTCATGGTTGGTTTGGAATCAGGGTTTTTGGCTGACTCCCTTAAGTGAACTACCAGTGGTCCACCAAGCCAGTTGTAGCCCCGGATGTCGGCTTTTCGTCCTCTCAATATGATGGGAAAACACCGACGGGGGAAGACAGTGAGCAAGACTTCATAAACAGAGGCTATTTGAGACGTCAGGTCGTGTGGGAGCATTTCGTGAGGTGCAAGGCGTGACTAGCTACAACCTAAAACATCCACCCCAACTATGTTGAGGCTTTTGGATCCTCACAGGTCGGGGTTTATTTTCTCCATCGGAGCTACTGACTCATGACACCGCCTCAGAGACATCGCGACGAGACTGCACCTTGACGTGGTGTGATGGCTTGTGCACCTCTCTCGCCCAACTACCTACATAGGATGGCTTTTGTCAAGCCGAAGATGTAACCATGCCTGAAAAGTCGAAGGATAGAGGTCAGACGAAGTCCAGTCACCTGATACTTCATATCATCATCATTATCATTGTACAGTGTAATACAGTGAATCGAACTTCACTGATCGTTGCCAAACTCATAATGCATACAAGATAGGTGAAAATGTGTAAGGAGGACAGGGATTGGACCTATTTTTAGGGACGGGAAAAGAAAGCGAACCTCTATGAACACAGAGTACACAGCCCAACTGTGCATACATACTAGCTCAAGCATTCTGGACTGATAAGAAGTGACAGCATGATCGCATGATCGGTTGGTAGCTATGACCTTCAGTGTCTCCAACCATGCGGTTTCTGAGTCTTTTGGACCCCAACCCGGACGCCGAGAGGTATCTACTCTACCTGATCGCTCTGTACATTTCTTTATGCCTCGTCTCCACGTTACCTGCTGGCCTTCATGTGGCTTTCTCCAGCCTGCAACAGCCACTGCGAATAAGGCGCGCTGCGATAGGCGACCGTCGGACATACGCAACACGTGTCCTAACCACCGAAGCCTATTGAGCTGGATTCGATGAGATAGCGAGTTCTTGTTTGAGGTATTCCCAAAATCCCGACGACTCACTTATAAGTTACTAACCCGTTCACTCCATCCCACTTGGACCAGATTAAGTAAGCATCGATTGTCGAACACTGCTAAACGACGGGTGTCTTGTACCCGCAAATTCAAGGTATCAACCGTAAAGCAGAACTGATCGTACAGTGGCGCAGTATATGCGACGTCTCAACTTTAGTGACACGTCACGTAGCCGCCACAGGTGTTTTAGTCCTGCGTACGCTGCTCGAGCCTTGGAAATGCGGGCGGTTATCTCCTTCGATGCGCTACCGTCGTTGGTCATGCAGCTACCTAAGTACGAGCGGTCAACTTCAGCTAATTCCTGGCCGTCTAGTTTCAAAACAGCTCGGTGACGCCCAGTCTTATAGCATCATTTTGTACTTTGAAGGTGCAAAGCACATGCCGAACGGAGCAAGAGAATTTGACAATCTGTTAAGTGCTCTTTATGAATTATCCATACATTCGAACAAGCAAACCATGTCGTCAGCGTAATCCATATCGCACAGCTTTTCTCCAGCTGCCCATTCAATACCTACATTTTGGAGACCACTTAGTGTTCTCCAGTATTTCGTCTATGACAAGATTGAACAGGAATGGCGAAAGAGGGCACCATTGACGAACACCGCTGAGTTACGAACGACCTACTCAGTTCGCCGTAGACCCTTACGCTACCAGAAGTATGAGTGGAGTGAACTCATTATATTCACATACTTCTGAGGCATTCCTTTGCGAAGGAGTGAACTCATAAGGGATTCACGATCACAGTAGATGGTTCCTTTTAGGTCCTCCACGTTGAGGTTCGATCCGAGTTAGCGTCGCAGTCGGTAAAAATTGTACAAGAGTAATCAATCCAAGTAAATGGGCCTCTAATTTGCTTCGCCCACGGTCTTGCGGCTAGGTTATTGTCAGAACTAAAGGCTTTGGTTGAGAACCTTAATCGTTCTGCTTAGTGGCTGGACACCCTAGCAGCGCCCGTCCATCAAACCCCAATGCGTATGAATTGCGAGTTTGGCAGCGATCAGTGAAGTTCGCTTCTCTGTATTTCGCTGTACGATGATGATGATGAATGTCTCAGATGGGCTTGGGGCTCAGACCCACAAGCAACATTCGCTGCGAAATACATTGCTTCCCTAATCTGATCCCATTGCGCATAAAAACCACGCTACAGCGCGCTTAGCTTGCGCATTAGCTCTGACTCAGCGTGCACGAACTGCTGGGGCAGACGGNCAGACGGGATGATGAGCTCACCGAGTTTGCTGATTTTGTCACCCACCAGTGAGTTCGTGTGAACTGCATCAAGACTAATGCGTGGTCAGATTCAACGCAGGTTGTTTAATATGACCTGAAACTTCGCACTGAGCCACGCCAACAGTAGCTTACTCCTTTATGGTCGACTTGAGTAAGCGTACCAGTCAAACTGGAGCGCCATATTGCCAATCGTCGAGAGCTGTCGGAAGTTGGTACTCCATAGGAACAAATGATCTGCACAGAAGTGAAATCAATCGTCGTTATTTGTTCACTAGATACAACTGGCTAAAAAAATGATTCGCTTCATGAATTAGTTAAGGTGCCACCCGTTTCGCTATATTTGCGAACCAATACCTTTCGGCTTTAAGTGGAACTTGACGGGCAAAAGAATAGTAGACAACTGAGTGTGTACATGATACAGAGTCATCTAAAAGGTGATCGGCATTTTCTCTGCGTATTAGCTTTATCATATGCAACGCTTGGCAACCGCACCAGTAGTATCTCATAGTGAGTGCGTGTATCTCATGGTTCATGGCATTTTACTTGCTTTCCCTAGCAGGTTTATCTTTGACCCCAACCCACGGAGGACCTGTCTGCCAGGGTTTTCTACCCACCCTGTCCTGGTCGTGCTGCCGCTCTGTCGTCGTTCCCTGCTGTCGGTCGTCGCTCGCGAAGCGTCGTATCGCCTCGAGCTGTGAAAATGGGTCTAGGGACATCCTGTCGCGCATTTTTGATCGCTCCGCTGCGCTGCGAGAGCCCGGAGTACGTTCGCATTACATTTACAGTAAAATATATTGGGTCATTCAAAGTGCAAACGTTACCAATAAGTTCCGTGATATTCTGGCTTTATTCCTCATGTGGCTTGGGCAGTCTTAATGTTCATTGAGGAATAGTATAATACCATTGATAATTGGTAGTCATGAGGTGGCAACGGACAATCAAAGCAACGCATATGCCTAGGATGACTGCTGAAGCAGTGTGCACCGATGAGTGGTAAGAGCTGAAAATTTGTAGATCAAA